TGTAATAAACATCCCCCGCTTTCACCGAAACGGGGGCTCGGCCAAGTTCGATGACTACTTTCAGTGGACCCCATTTAGCGGAGTTATAGCCCCTTGAGTAACGAAAAACATAATTATCTTCTGTTTCTGTTCATTAACTCTCGCAAATAGTATCCGATTGTCTTCAAACTTAATAACAGGTTTCAACGCATTAAGGGCTTGGCCAAGTTTGACAACCACTTTAATCGGACTCCATTTGGCAGAGTCATTATTTGTAGTTTCCGCTTAATAACTCCAGCAAATATTAGATAAGGCTTTTTTTTCTTCAAGTTTCAAGCTATACATTATGTCTCAACAGCACCATACTCACATGTTTAAACCTAACCTCAATAATGTTACCTACAATATGTCCTGAAAGCGGGGGATATAAATTCGACGGATTTGCTTGTTAAACATTAATATCCAGGTGAGCAATACAGGCTCTTTGGGCCTTTCGTTTTATATATATCTATGTTACCAGTATTGGCCATACTACTTCAGTTACTTAAATAAAAATGTCTGGTCATGATTATTTAACATTGATATCCAGGTGAGCAATACAGGCTCTTTGGGCCTATTGTTTCCCATACCCATAACTAAAAACAACCTACTGAATACTATCTCTTTTGCTTGTTTGTCATTTCTTTAGACTTCCTCGGCTCACAGTAAGCAGATCAAGAAGCTGCATGCTGACATGGTCCTACGTCTAAGCAGAATATTCAGACCAACTGTTGTTGATACCTGGCAGAGTATTTTGGTAGCGTTAAGTCCCTTTTTGGATCATCCAGATTTATATGGGGATGACATTAAACATTTTGGGCAAATATGTCGGAGTCTGATGTGTAAGGGAACTATTGCTCATGGCTCTTATGATGAACTCCATCGTGCAGTCGGGAATGTTGATGCCCAGGCTGCTAAAATTGTGGAGGAAACTTCTATCCAAATAAAAGCGCTACAGCCTGAAGGTTTGTCTGGATCTCATCCGTATAATATTGTTACTCTTACTGAAATTATGATCAGAAATTAAAATCTTAACGTTCTATTTATTTTTGCTACATACTCATAAACTGATCAAGCCTCATTCCACTGTAGCAAGCTTCATGCAATATGAATGTGACCTATTTGCACTCAAACCGGCATGAAAATTAACATACACCGTTCAATCCCTATATATATAATTTGTTTTATTCGGTTGACTTACAGGACCATCGGAACCCAAGCGACCCAGAACTGGAGAAGGAGCCAAGACAAGAGGTGTGTTGTGTGAGCATGTCCTAATGTTTATCTGTGTTGATAACATTGATAATACAGTAAAACACGTTAGTACGAACACACTTATTGTGATTTTATGGGTATTGCGAACTGGTGCTGATTCCCAAGCTCTTCTACCTCTTACTTCTAGGTAATTTACAATGAATTATGTTTTCGATGAAAATCTACATATTGAGTTGAGACCAAAGCTACTACGGTCAAGGTCACCATGTTGGATTTCGTCAATATCGACTGTTATTAACTCGAATGAGATGTCCGATATTGAAGTTGTGTACATGTGTACAAGGAGGGGGGAAGTGGAGGGAGAGGAGGTAGATTCCATCAGTGTTGCTAGGGCGAGTGCTTACATTAACCATATACACTTTTTTCTCTGGGCTCAATTGGCGATCGTGGTAAGTACCGGTGCAGTCTCTCCGTCGTCGTGACAAGTTACAGCAAAAAGCATTAACAGGCTTTTTCAAAAGAGCTTGAAGCTGTGAGCATTTTGTTCATATACATATATGTTAAGATGAATTAAAATACCGGGTATACCATTTGATTTTTGTTTCCTTTTTAGCTCACCTGGTCCAATTAAAGGACCATGGTGAGCTTATGCCATACCGCAGCGTCCATCGTCC